TCACCACCGACGAATTGGTGCGGAATATCGAGACTCTGATCAACGATCCTCAGTACAAACGCAGTGCTCTGGAGGTCTCGCAGCGTTTCCGCGATAATCCCATACATCCGCTGGACGAGGCCACCTTCTGGATCGAGTACATAATCCGACATCGCGGGGCCAGGCATCTGAAGTCGCAGGGCGCCTTCATCCCCCTGCATCAGTATCTGCTGCTCGACGTCTTGGGCTGCCTGTTGCTGGGTGCCTTCCTCGCCATCTGGCTGCCATGGCGGATGATCAGGAAGGTCCACAAGTGGTGGCTCAAAGGGGAGGTATCCGACAAACTTAACGAGAGCAAGAAGCGCCTGTAGGAGAGGGCCATCTCCTAGCTAGTCGCAGAGATATGAAATTGTGATATATTTTTAGATCACAAAGTGTACACTAACAGTGTTTAAATGTTGTTAAAGCAATAAGCAATAAGGAAATAAAAAATTATTTTTTTCACATATATGTGTCTACCTATTTCTTACTTTGCTAGCTTCTTTTCCAAACGAACCAATCAATAAAAATTAAGTAATATATTTAAATACATTTTCCGGAAGTATGCAGTGACTTTAACTTTGTCAGTAGTCTTTTTAAAAAAATATAGCCTACTTTTAATCGACTTTTATAATTTAGTAATTGTTGCATGCCTACTGGGGCATGCTTACTTAGACATGTAGAATGTAAAATTTGGATTTTACATTTGTCGTGTAATAAATATTAAAATTATTTCAATTTTTAATGTCTTTAAATTCCCCAAAAAGTTTGATTTTATGAAACCTTGTATTTTATTATAATTTTATAAAAATGTATTATATTATTTGTATTTCGATATATTTTTATTTGGCTTGCAGAGGGTATAAAGAAGTCAGTCAGAAGATTGCAACGCTGTAAGGGAGACGTTTCCGACTCCATAAAGTGTATATATTCTTTATTATTCTTGAATTTCTAATTTAATAGGAATGATCTGCAAGGGTATATATACATCGGCTGGTTAAAGCTAGCTTCCTTTTTTGTTTTTTTAGTTCTTGGTAATTTGCCAAGTGAACAATGTGATTTACTAAAACAGATAAAATTGCAAGTCAGTACAAAAATGTTCTACAAAATCTAGTTCTTTACTTGTTCAGAAAGTATAGGTACTCATCTTTATATTAAAATCATAATTGATGTGCCAATTAATTAAGCCAAAATAGGGAAATAGTTAAAGTATCAAAAACAATGAAAAATGCCAATAAATTCTTCATAGCTAAAAGTGTTTTGTTTGTTGCCGGCTCAATCAACAATCACGAAGTGTTAGACATTCTTGAATCCCATAAAACACCCACACAAAGCACGTTTCTTTCGATTATGAAAAACAAACTTAAAATGATGCGGCAAATAAAACTGAAGTGGAGAACAAAGACATCAAAATAGTTAAACAAAAGATTTTGGAGAAGGATCTTATTTGCCAAAAGAAATTGGAATTTAAAAGAGACTTAAATATTCTAAGTTCATTTATTGTAAATCTAACTTGAAATAATTCGAAAAATGTGGATTATTTTGTGGTGTTCTTTAATAGTAAATGTGCTTCCAATGTTTAAAACGTTAACAGCTGTGGACAATTTTATCTACACCTACTTAAAAGTTTATTTATGCGTTTTTTTTTTACTTTCACTGCATAGCCACCTTGATGAGGGTTAAAGTGCGAATATTTTATTGCTGATAAAGAGGAACCGGTTGAACTAAGTTTTACAAATCCAAGTGGGCATCTTTAATTGTTGTTGCCGCTGCTGTTTGTCTTCTGTTTGCCGATTATAAATTGTAATTTTAAATTTTAACGATACATAAATTACAGACCAGCCCTTTCTCCCCCTCTCTCAGTTATTGAAATTAGTTTGACATAACGTGAACAACACGTTTAACACTTGAGCGACTTTTCGGAGGCAGCTTTTGCTTATTTTTTATTATTTTTGACTAACGGAATTTTTTACTCTTTTTTTCCCCATTTTGTATATAAATTGTTTTCAAATATCATTAAAGCGATATTTATTTATTTTTCTGTGTGCGTCTCTTTTACGTAATACGTTAAACCGGACCTCGAGACTTGGCAGATCTTGACGCCATTTCAAGAGCAGTAAAAAAATCGATTTAGTGCCAGGCACACGATATTCTCGAGGCTGAAGATTGGACAACGGCCGCTCTATGACACATGAGAGGCTCTTCTGATACCGAAACCTATAAAAAAAGAGTCGACAAAAATCCCAGATTCAAGTTCGTAACTTAGGCGCCAGTCACTAGCGCAAAGAACCGGCTTAGAAATTCCCATTAATTTGATATCTTTTAGATATGCAGTAAGGATCTTTTGGGGGTCGAATGTGGCGTATAAACCCCGCATGTCCGTGTTGACAATTAGCAAGTGTTTGCCCAAAACCGAAAGTAATATAATGTGTATGCCTCGCCATTGCATTTATTAATTATTGTTAACCAAAAAAACGTCGCCACTCGACGTTAGCGTCGTACAGATCACATGAGTCTAACCAAAAACAACGGCGTCTACCCAAGAAAAAACAAATGAGCAAACAACTTTGGTACGAGTTTTCGATGTTTTCTTTAGTTAGAGCTTTGGGGCTTGGTTCCTGTTACTACTACTATATGCTGAAGTCAAGCTGCAGAGGGCAAACCACGAAGTCGAAAACGTTAAAAAATCAAAATGGAGATTAGCATTAAGCACGTGATGCCATCTTGTGATGCCATTTTATTTTATTTCGTTTTTCAGAGAAATATCTTCATAGAAATGATGCCTCTCTGTGTGCTCAGGTTTGTCGACACATCTACTGTAATTAAGCGAGCGGCCGCTGAAATGGTCGTTTAAATGTAATTTAAACTCAGTTTTTGTTTTGGTCAACTGAGGTGACAAATTAAGGCCCCATCGCAAGGTCATGTGAGGGGCGTCCATTAGCCATGAAGAGACATCAAAGGGTAAAACAGCAGCAGAAAAGTGGCAACAAATCAAACGACACCGGCTGCAGATCTTTAAAAGTAAAATGTCGCGGCATTTGTCGCCGTGCATTTCAGCTCCCGTGCGCTGATTGATTGGAAAGTTAAGGTTGTCCATCATCATCATCATTGAAATGAGGAAAACATAATGCCAGCTAATGTGAGATTATGCAAATGAAAATGCGCATCTTCCAGCTCTCGATAAATACATTGACCTGCATGCCTGCGGGCCTGAGCAAATTCAACACAACACTGTTTTCTTCATGTCTTTAATGATGAAATTATTCCGAAAATGAACACGAAAAGGTGGGGACTCATGTCAGAATGCACTTTCTACAAGGGAACATGTTGATGTTGTTTTTGACTTGTTAACGATTTTGGAAAGATATTTTACACATGTTTATAGTTGGTTACAATTTGGGTTAAAGAGTGTGGGAATTGATTTATTATTGGGCTTTGACCTTAGTATTTATGAAAAATATTAAGGAGTTTCCGTATTAAAATGTGAAATATTAATTTTAAAATTATAAATAAATAATTCCAACAAACCTTGTTAATATTTACATTTAATATTTTTTTGTGGTAAAACAAAAAAATATTGGAAAATAATTCTTATATTTAGATGTACCTTATTGTTATAAAAATATTTTAAATTAAATACTTAAATAAAATTTAATACGTTTTGATGAGCAAAGAAGACTGCTCAATGCTTAAGTTTTTGTATTATTTTTTCCAAAATGTTGGGGAATTCCCGGTCAGTAAAATATTACCCGTGAAACAGAGTTGATGCTATTTTTAAACAGAATTATTCAAATTAGGCTAAGCTGTGACGCATTTAAAATTATTGGGTAACAATCATAAATATACATATCGAATAGATTTTCGGATAGATACTTCACGTGAGCCGGTTGCATCAAAATCAATGCAAATTTCTCTGCACCGAAATGTATACCGAATTCAGAGGTCTAAATGTTTTTGGCTGATTTCAATTAGCAATTCAAGTGTCAGCCTAATATTTATTTTTTCTTTTTCGAGGCGCAGCCTCCTTTTTGATGACATTTAGCTGTCCAATTTATGGCTGCCGGACATGCGCCACCTGTCGGCGGTGTTTGTCTGGCATTTTAGCACCCGACCACTAACCGAAATGTTTAACCAGATAATTAACTTGGCCAAGTCAGCTTTTGTGTCTGGGCATCGCGGGGGATGCCCTATCGCTGCATTCGATTTCTAAACGAGCCGTATTGCCCAATGGCAGAGAGACCTTTGCAGCTGCCTCCGAGTCTAAATCTTAGAGTGGAATTGGAATTGGAACCCCCAGATCGAGACTGGGTCTGGGAATGTCTATCAGCCGGGGTAATGGGGTCTTGGGTGCTTTGGTGCCTTGGTGCTTACATCACAGCAGGAGACCCCAGAGTCGAGAGACTCGTCCCACAATAAGATGAAACTTGTTTCCCCTCGACTCTTTGCCAGCAATAAATATTTGCCTCCTCACTCGGCTCTTATTTCTTCTTACTTTTCGTCTGCTTTTTTGGGGAACCTTTGTTTTTGCTTCTTGTGCAAATTACAAAGCGCGTGACTCCTTTCACAAGATGCGATTTGAAATCAAAAGTGCAGACAAAAGGTGTTAAAAAAGAGCCTCTGACCGCAGACGAAACAAAAGCGTGAGTTTTTGGCCTGATTTTTGTGGGTCTTATATATATACATTTATATGATTTTTTTGTATGGTCAATATTGGTGGTATTGGCCCTGTCTCATGCTGTGTAGTTGAGTGTACGCCAGTCGCATCATTTTTACTTTCTCCCCTCAATCTCAAACTCAAACTGAAGCTCAAGAAAGACGCCAAGAGAGCGAGCGAGGTGTTGGCCCAGAGAGCCCAGGTCCCAGAGAGCGAAGCTTCGTGTCTGTGTTACCGGTTTCGCTATGGGGTGAAGCTTGGCTTACAGCAGATCCGTTTTGGTGTCTGTGTGGCCTGCCTTTTAAGCCCGGCCACCGGGACTGGCAGCTTTCAGATACGTTTTTGCCTCTGCCGCGTTCAGAGTCAGAGTCGGATTTATCGTCTGGGTCTGGGTCTGGAAAAGATCTTGGATCTTGGTCTCGGTTTCGTTTTCGGTTTCGTTTGTGTGTTTCGGTTTCAGTTTCAGTTCGTTGGCGCGTTCGCACGGATCGAGTCGTGAGCACGGCTTAAAACACACAACTAAATATATAGATATATATAATACCTCTATTTGGTGGCCAAGATAGGCTCGTCGCTCTGCTATTCGGGTCAATGCTGTACTCTGCATTGCCAACGTTATGCTAATTACCGAAAGGATACAAATCATAGCATACATCATCGGTTACAATCTCTTTGGCAAGACTCCGTCGCACCGCTGGTGACAAATTCCTCGCCCGGTGCCCAACCCGCCAATAAGCGCTAGAAATAAAGAGATACACAGCCAGGAGAATAGCTAGCAACACATATATATTACATATATATTTATTTAACACAAAATATATCAATCAACAAATTTGCAAAACGTGCCAAATATAATTTAAATCTATTTATTTTGTTTAACAAAGAGCTGATAAGTCTTAACTATATAAATTAGTAAGTCGTTTAATTTAAATCCTCATAAAAAGCCACAACAAAGAAAGTTGCCGAAGGAGCAGCCGTTGGCTTCGACATGAAGAAGCCAGAAATGCTGTTTAGTTTAATTTTATGGTGAGTTGAACATTCTTAATTAGCCGTAAATTTTAATGTGTGATATTGTTCGAGTGAATAACTAAAATAGCCATTGCTTGCTCAATGTGCGATTTGAGCGGGTCCTTTTAATTGTCTTAGATTTAAATGATAAATAGATATTTTTCTGATCTTCAGCTTAAGCTTAAAAATGGAATTTAATTCTTTTTTATTCAAGGATTAAAGTACTGGTGCACAAGGACTCAGTTTTATAGCCAATGTTATAATACCGTGTTTTAGAGAATCCTCAAATTATTGTTAGCTAGTATTTCATCATTCCTGTAGTTGTTAATTTTATTGCGAGAATTTGTAAATCTTGGCTTAAATGTTTAACCTTAGAAACAAGTTTTTTTGGCATATTTTTGAAGGCGGACTTCAGCTGCATTTATGACTTTATTTATGCATTAGCTTGGAGCATTAGAGCTTAGGCCAAATGACCAAGCGGCCGGCCTACTACACCGAGCCACACATGAAACGCAGATGGCCATTAAGGCAAATTATAGTCTGTAAGGCATGCGAATACAATTTGGATGTTCGGTCGGGCCGAGAGCATCATTAATCATGAATTTTCTACTCGCCTCGCGTTCAACAAGAAGCGTCAACGGAAGTCGGAGATTGACAGAGTCAGTCAGCTTATCACTGAGCGATTCGACTTCCCCGTTTTAATGGTCCTTGAGGCATTTCATTAACTCTTCGCAAAGTCGAAAACTATTTTCAAGAATTTGCATGATGACAAAGGTGGAATCGGCTGATTATATCTGCATATGAATATTTATTCGTTGAGGAGTGATCAAAGCCAAGACGATCATGTAATATCGATCCGAATTGGATTTCTTTGCTCAGCGGTGAAAAATCAATTTGAAAAGTTTCACTTTCATTTTTCCCTCTCTTGACTGGGAAGATGCCAAGGCAAATCGAAGAGAAAAAGTTGTCAGCGGCAACAAAAGACTCTTTCGCTTTTTATGTTTGTGTGTCGTGCCAGGTGGTTTTTGGAACGGTTACACAATCATGACTTTATTTTCGTTTTCAGTCCGCGCTTTTCGCCTCTTTTTTCGGTCTTGTGTTAACCGCATTGACATAATTTCCAGCGTAGGCATCCCAAAAAAAAAGAAACCGAGGCATAAAACTTTACATAATTTTCAGGCGTATCCGATTCATAGGCCTGCAATTAATCTGGCTTTATCGATGGAGAAGCTCAGCGCTGAAGCCTAGTTTTAATTAACAGACTTTTTCGTAAATTTAACAGTCGGCCGCTAAGTGTAGAAAGTTTTCTCCTATCTCCGGTCGCATTAATTTGGCGTCTTGTGTTAATCAGTGTGTGTAAGTTATGCAAATTGGAACGCTGCGTTAGCATTTCGCTTATGCAATGATTCGGAGTTGGATAATCCCCTCGCCGGCTGGCGACATTGGTGGACCAGGCCGGGCTCACCAGATTTACTATTTTAGAGGCCTTGGCCAGTTGTGACTTCTTTGGCTTAGTCATGCGGCGACGCTCAGAATGCAGCCGAGCAACTTGATTGCTCAGGCAAATTAAGCACAAGTGCTGCCGATTGCCGACTGCGCTGCCAGATGCTGACATTGTCTAGTTGACACACTTAAGTCACTTAAATGTCGTAGAATTCTTGCTAAAAGTTTTCTCGAGTGTTTTACAGCATACGAACATTTTTAAACACTTTTGACATTTTTTTATTGACTGCGGCGTCAAGGTTTGGCGCCCCCTAAAGCGATGTCACCGGCTCGCCGAAAGCGCCAAATTATGGACATTCATAATTGTGATTTTTGCGAGCGAAATATTGTAAGTGAATTGGAGCAATTGCGTGGGTTGAAACGAAAGACTTAGGCAACGAACTTGAATTGACAGTCAGTCTGAGAGCTTCAACGGTAGCAAGGCCAATGCGGATGTGGGTGTAAATTATGGGATAATAAGATGGGACACGTGCCTTTAAAGAGGATGGATAATCTTCCGAAGGCCAAGCATTTGAAAAAGAATATAGTATGATGAACTAAAGAAGACTAATGATTGTTCCATTAAATAGGAACTCGTAGATATATTATTATAAATATTAATAGAGCTGAGGTGAACATATTTTATAACTAACTCAGGGGTATATTTCAATAACAATCTTTGATCAGATACAAAAAGATGTATGCCATACATGGCAAACTAAAACACATATTAAAAGATTCTTAGCAAGCAATTCCGCATTTTCCCATAGCTCTCTCATCATCATTTAAGTGTTTTGGCTGTGATTAATCTATTTCACAGACAGCCATTAGCACCTGGCCAAAAAGTAAAACTTAAATTTAAATTAAAACTGGCGCCGCCTCATCGGCTAAGACATTTTTTTTTAGATAGAATTAGTCAAGATTTTGTCTTATTTTTTGCTGGCTAGAACTGCTTTAAAATCAATTAGCCAGCGTGTATATGATAAATAAGTAATTAAGAGAGCAAAAACAGAACGGCGAGTTCAAGGCTGAAACCCAATCTGAAAATGAAACCGAATTCCCTTAGTCGAGAATTCGTTTTTATGTGTTTTTGTAATTTAATTTGCAAGTTTTGCCCGTCTCTCGATGGACTGCCATTTATCATATTTATTTCATTCGTTGTTTGCCAAGTCTGAGACACGTTTTTTGTTTATGTCTAAGTCTAATATATTGACTAATTAATCACCATTTGTCTGGGCTAGAGATCCAAGCACCGAAAGTTGATCCAGTGAAAAGTTGAATAAACCTTTTTGTCATTCAGCTTGTGGGTAGATGGATGAGAACTCCTTTTCTTCCTCGGGCTTCCTGGTGAAAGGCAATCAGAACTAGAGATCGGTGTAGTTGTTGACCCTGAGAGATCGCATGCATAACTCTGTCGTTGGCCAACTCCAAGTGATTCCATAAATCAAGAAGCCGTTGCTCAACTTGTTTTCTGCTCCGCCAAGAATAATTCAAAGCGCACAAATATTTCTGCGAGTGTCCAACTGTGGCAGCGCCTGTCTGACCACTTTGTTTATTTCTACACACATGGGTCCAAAAAACGGGTTAACCCGAATAAAATAAAAGTATATCGACCAGTATGCACAGCAGCTGGAACCAAAAAAATAAGAAAAAAATCTAAAAGGAACGGGCCAATTGTCTTTTTGACTTTGTGGTACGCCGTCTTTCCCTTCGATACCTAAAATGTGACACAATCCACCGCAAAACATATACAATATGTATACCCATGCATACATCTTGACTGCGACTGGTTTATTTGGGTTAAAAAGAAATTTTTCGGATGCGGCTTGAGCTCCCCCCTTTTAAAGAGATAACGGTACAAGGCGTCTGTAAAAAAATTCAAAAGCCCAATAACAAAATCTGAAGCAAAATGCCAAACAGACGAAAGTGAAATTTTTTGTTGTTTCCATCGAAAGACGTAATCAACTTCAACAGGATGAAGTGGCCAACAGGCTTGACTGGGCCTCATTTTTCGGGTTTTTGAGTAATTTGGCAGTCGAGCAACGGAACTAAGTATTTGTAAATGCGCCCAGCTCTTCAAATAAAGTTTGAAGAGCCTTTAGAGGTTTTTTTTTGACACTTGCCTGCTGAGAGCAACCGGCGTCTTCCGTCATTTCAAGGTGCTGCAACAGGTTGCCTTCTTACATAACTCGGATGGGGATGGCAATGAAGATGATGATAATTATGAGATGAGAGAGTTTAAAGAGTTTTCCGAATATTTTAGGTAGGGAATTTCCAAACAATAATTGATTTTGTTGTCGTATCCTTATAAGCCATAAAAGTGATTTTAATTTTTTAAGAAAATTAAATGTTTGGTTGAAAATCACTTTCAACGAGCCCAATTCCTAAATTCTCCGCTTATCTACTCACTTGATTTGCGTATCTGTCCTCTGTTTTAACCATTTAGATTTTTATCTTAATTTCCATGCCCAAAAAATCATTTAACTTTCTCACACTTCACCTCAAATTGCCCGAAAAGATTTCTCATTTTTTGGCTGCCGGCGAGGGAACCCAAAAACATTTTCACCACTCACACCTGGGTGCGTTGTCAATTATGGTAAATTACACGATGATTACACGGCGATCATATCGGTGTTGTCACCTTAATGGACCGTTTAGAGAGTTCGCGGCCTGAAATTGGCCCTATTAAAATTTCCCTTCGCCAAATGGTTCGGCTGTTGGCCAACGATCTGCGACCTTGATGCCAGTAGCAAACTATATCAAATGAAAACTCCCAGTCGATTTGCATGCAGGCAACACCCTGTAAGATGGAAAGATATGGGGGCCAAAAGCGGCTCCTCGAATTGTTTACCAATATCAAGTTGTATGCACTTTCGCAATGAAAACGAAAGTTACGCCCCGCTATTCGTTTATACGTATATCCATATAGTTGTCTGCGGCGCGTGACTTTGCCAGCGTTTACACTTTCTTGCCGTAAAAAGCAACGGCCCCGTGGGGACACACACTGGCATAGAATTATGATCTTCACGCCTCTTGGTTAGCGTTCAGCCAACGTTCACCAGCAACATCTGCAGCCGCAACTACAGACTACAGACTTGGCAATGTAACCAATATTCGAAGCCACATCGATGAGCGTCACTGAAAAAAGAGGTAAACATGAAAATTGCATCATGCCTGCATTCGACGTTGATGTCGGTTGATCGTCAAAGTTGCCAATGATCATCGTTATGGTAATGAAGTGCACTTGAAAATTTCTGTATGCAGATCTTCAGTTGGCCTGCTTTTCGTGCATATTTCCTCATCCGTCCAGAGAAGAGCAGTACAAACTGGATGAGGGCGTAATGTATTCAATCACGAGTATTTTCCTAGCCTTTTGTCTAGTTTTTCGGCCCGGTCTTCTCCTACCCATTGTGCAATGTTCAGAGCCGAGAAACTGGCTGTGTAACGAACACGACGAAGAAACCACGACGCCAGAGTGAAACAAAAAGTGTTTGGGGAGTGTATATGGCTGATCACATGACCATCACATGATGCCAGGAAAATGGTCGAGTTGAACTGGGTTTGGAAAAATAATCACACCGGCTGGGATGCACCCAAAATTAAATAAATAAAATCCTTTAAGTTTTGCATTTGCATATAAACCTAATGTTTATTTGGATCATCAGAACAATACAATGGAATAACACAAAAGTTGTGAAATTTCTTTAAAAAATCTAGCGACTTACTAAAGTTAATATATGAATCTGATAATCAGTGACTTTAAAATAATAGCTGATAATTTGTTTAGGTTGCCATTGCTTTTGTTATTCTGAGGAAAACTTTTAAATACTCTATTTGAAGCAGTAGAGTATGCAGGACTCGACTTGGGTGGAAAATACTTTCGCTTTCTTGTTTTGTTTCTTGCTTGTGTGGTAGTGTTGCTGCTGTCGCTGGTGTTGCTGATTTTCCTGCTGCCTGTGTTGGTGGTAGGAAATCATGTGCAAAGTCACATGACGATGACGCTACGTGCCTTTCGAGTAATTGCAGAAAGACATGGATGCCCGGGGGTGTTGCCAGTCACCGACAGTCGTGCAAATGTATAAAGATATAGGTAGCTATATATCTATACGGATGAAGATATAGACACATGCACGTACATATGTGTTTGCCCGGCCCGTCTGCATATTTGGCCAGGCGGCAGCGACTGCGGACTGTTGATAATGAAAAAACGACGTCAAACGGCCGTTCGCATGAGTAATGCGCATACCAAACACTCGATGGCTTCCGCAATCGGGTTTATTTGTTATTATTCCTGGGTGCCACACTAACCCATTTGTGTAAGCCTTCTGCGGAGGCATAAGTTAGTTTTATATCGGCTGCTGTTGCTATTGCTGCATGATTTGGCAATTGGCAGCGAGTCAAGTTTGTTGCCTAAGTCTTTTGTTTTCCCGCCGATTGCGCAAAAGCGATTGGGGGTGTTCGCAAATTTTCCGTTTCTAAGTATTCGCCTACATATGTGGGTAGTTGCTTATCTAAGGCCACTTAATTCATGATTTGCACAGACAATTAATTCGTGACTCTTAATTGCGCACAGCTACCGAACCATCAGCACTTGCAAATTGAACATAAATCGCTTATCGGCATCGCCGGGAATTTATGCAAATCGCAAAATAGCATAATTTCCAGCCAGCGATCGCTTGTGCAATATGCATTATTAAATAAGACAAATTAACAATGATTTATTGTAAGCACTGGTGATGGGCTTATGCAAGCCGCTTGATTGCCAGACAAAAGTCAACTATTTTAGGATTGGCACGCGTTCATCAGCATCAGATTTTCACGCCAACTGGTTTGACTTGTTACATGTGCCATTTGGTATTTTTACAGTTCTTACTCACGTGTTTTGTAATTGCCAATCGATCGGCCGTATGACTAACTACCGATTGTAAAACGGCTGTAAACAAAATGCAAATACCACGAGCTGCTGCTTACAATGGGTTTATGCATCTTAATAATATGAACACAATTACCCCGAAAGATGTCGATGTGACCGATAATCGAGTGCGATTTTTACGAGGAATTTGACTCAAGCGAGTTCTTATAAAATCATCTCTCTGCGATTACCATACTGGGCGCTGTTTCCGTTTGCCGACCAGTCAGCTGAGCAAACCATATAAATGTCAAACAAATAAATAAATTTCGCCGAAAACAAGTTCAAGCAACCTCTACGCAAATCAGAAAAATCAGCAAAATTCCCCATCTCCAGCACAATGGCTTATGACAACTTAAAGCCGATCTCTGCTTCCGTTTGCCCATGGACTGATTGATAATCCCACAACAAACTTTCCTTTTCAATATTTGATTTATTTAATTGTTCAACCATTTGGATTACAACTAACGATAAAGCTCGATAAAAATAGAAAAAAAGAAATGCTAACTATTGATGTCATAATGCTGTTAAATAACGTATACGCGGCATGTGCCGTGCATTTCTATTTGCGGTTTTTTCGACCGCTGTTTTATTTGTTTGTTTGTTGTTTCATGGGTGCCATCAGTGGTGAGGCATGACACACATTTTTGCATTTCAGCTGGTGACATAAATACCAGACGACCCGCTCCGAGCCGCATAAAAGCCATAAACAAACAAATGTAAATTGCCAGCACTTCTGCTTTCGCTTTCAGCCTCAGTTTCGGCTAAGTATTTCGTTTTTCGAGAGACGTGACGGCAGTCAAGTTCTGCAAAAGTACCTAAAACTAAAAGGGGATTACTCGTGCCCGGCAATAAATTAACTTATGTGTGCCAATTGCCTGCCGACTGTTGCCTGCATATTGGCCAATGAATCCGCATTCGACTGGCCCCAATGGGCAGCCACGCACCTGGCAAATGGGTAATGGGTAATCGCATTACGAATTATTTTCGGTAATCGTTACTTCATTTGGCATTTCTTTTTTTTATGCCAGAATCGCAATAATGAATAACACTTTGTAATGGTTTTTTGAGAAACACCAGCGGTGACCTAAATTACCTCATAATAGCCAAGATTGTCCGTTGAGGATGCCACACCTATTACTTGTATCTTAACCTAGGAAAACTTTTCCATAATTAACCCAATCATTTCCTACGGTCTTCTCACACAAAAAACAGATTTATGTGGCTCTTGAACTCTCGACAAGTTCATAGCCCAAAACATAGCTATCTTAAATCATTAAAATCGACTGGAATCTTTTAGGATAGACACCACAAGCGGTCACTTAAAAGTATCCAAAAATACACAAAAGCCTTGAACATTCGTCTAAACAACCCGAACGAAATACCACAAATTACGTTCAACTTTTAAATGAGTGCTAAACAAAATATACGCGAGTATAACTCAATAAAATAAGCAAAAATAAAACCAATTAAACCGAAACCAGAAAGTTAACTCTGCTCGAATATCATTTTGTATTTTGTATCAGTAGAGTTGGCAAAAATTTATGTAGGGGAAGGTGAGGACGTTTACCCAAAACATTGAAATGAGCTCATTAGGCGGGTTCTAGAAGCGGATCCTCTACGCCCACATCCACCAGATTGCAGAGTGTTGCATAATCTCGGATCTTGACGTCAAGCGCAAATAAATTGCATATTGTTGCTGTTGACAAAAGACTTCAATTCGGAAAATAATGTCAATGCAACCACAAAAGAAACTCCGTCACGTGAGCCGAGGCGGCTGGCCGAAATCAATAGAATAGCATAATGACAGGCCAACAAAGTGCGGCTTAATAAGCCATTCAGCCACTCAGTCAATCAGCCACTCAGTCAGTCAGTCAGCCAGTCAAAGCCTTTTGGGGGCAGTCGGCGTCATTGTTCATAATTCGAAATTGATTAGTTCGACAGACGTTTCTCATATCCGGTTAGGCAGAAAATCGCAGACCTACGCCTCCTCCATTATATACCTTTTTATATGCATAGTTTTCAGTTTCAATTTCAGTTTTCGCTGTCTGTGCCTCGTTTAATTAACAGTGTGAGCAAACGACGGCGATGTGAGAAAACTGGTAATTAAATGCCGGAAAATGCAATGGGAGTCCATGAATGAATAAAAAACGGAGACGATTCCAAGCAAATTAAAAACACGTGGTCGAAGCTTTTGGGGTAAACCTAGTTGTGATAACGATATAGCAGGAAAAACATTTTTTTGGGTAAAGCCAACAGGATAGCAAGCACTGATTGAGCAAGTGATTATATCGGGAAAATTTACCAGGAAAGAAAGTACCTGATTTAATAATTGTTTAGATGATTCAGCAATCGTCTAAAGTCTATTAACGATTGGTTTAATTGTATTCTATTCATAAAGTGTGTTCAATGGCTTGGTTTCATTATAATGAATGAGAAGAATAAAACGGACATTATTTTTCTATTCGCCTTTATTAATGAAAACTAGTTTTTATTTACGAGAATATAAAGATCTAAAATTAACTTAGACGTTTTAAATTAATTATCAAAAGCCTGGGATAAAGACATCAAGTTTTAGCTCTTAAAATTGGTCTTTTTAAAGGTCATCTTGTGATTAAGATTTTTTATTTATGATATTTAAATATGTTTATAATTTTTAATCCCCGTTCTTTTTATTTTCAGGTGCCTTTGCGCTCCCAGTCTGACCCTTCGTATCCCCGAGGACCTCGAGAATGCTGCCATTAATGCCCTGAGCTCCGAACGTGCCCGTTCCCTGACCCAATGCGGGTCCTCCGAGGAGGGAGAAGGCAGTGTGGCCGGTGACTACGATGTTTGCCCGCCGAGCAAGTACCGCCAGCCGACCGCCGAGTGCAACAATGTGTCCCATCGCAAGTGGGGAGCCCGTGGGGACATCTTCCAGCGCCTCTTGGTGGCCGACTACGCCGATGGTGTGAGTCAGCCAAGGACTTCCAAGGGAACCCATGCTCTGCCCGATGCCGAACTGGTGATCGAGCACCTCCAGCGCCATGTGGAGGGCGAGCTGCGCCACGCCCACATCACTGCCATGCTGCCCGCCTGGGGCCAACTTCTGGCCAATGACCTGGTCGAGGTAGGACAACTGCCCATCTCCGGAAAGTGCTGCGAACGCGACTCCGCCGTCAAGGATCCCAGCGAGCTGCAGCAGTGCTTCGTTCGGGCGGGTCCCGATTGCAAGGAGTACAAGCGATCAGCGCCAGGATTCGATGCCGAGGCGTGCCAGAAACGTAAGTTTAAGGGACTTTAACCATATAATATAATAGTATCTATAATCCAACTCCTTCCCCCTTGCAGACACTCGCCAGCAGATGAACATCGCCTCGGCCTACATCGATGGCTCTGGACTTTATGGCTCCACTCGCCATGAGTTCGACCAGCTGCGCACCTACATCAGTGGCGGCGTCAAGGTGGAGTCCTGCAAGTACTGCCAGGTGGCCGGAGCCACGGGAGCCCTGCATCGTGCCCTCCTGCAGCAGCACAACAACATTGGCGAGCGACTGGCGCACATCAATCCCGATTGGTCCGAGGAGGATGTGTTCCTGGAGGCCAGGCGCATCATCACGGCCACCATTCAGCACATCACCTACAACGAGTTCCTGCCCCTCGTCCTGGGACAGGAGACGACGGCCAAGGAGGGTCTGCGGCTGACCGCAGAGAAGCACTCGAGCAACTATTCCAGCTCGGTGAGGGGAGGAATCTACAATGAGTTCGCCACCGCCGCCATGCCCGCCTTCTGGAGCATGTATCCGCCGGAGATGCTGGCCAAGAAGATGTCCGCTCACGAACTGTTGTCCATTGCCGCCCTGCAAAAGTCACTGGTTCCGAGTCAAACGAATGCCGAGGGCTGGTCCGAGTTGGCCTTGGCCGTTCACCGGGGTCGTGACCACGGCGTGGCCTCCTATGTCCATGCCCTGGATCTCTGCGAACGTCGCTACGCCGATCAGGGTGCTGCCAATGTGAGCTTCGATACCCTGGCCCAGGCGTCCAACATTCCCGAGGAGTACATCACCAATCTGCGTGACATTTACCAGTGAGTTTTAATGGCACTCTTAAGTTATGGAACCCCGTTTGGAGCCGAACCTTTTAAATACCGGTTTGCTTCAGTTTTTATTTTGCATACTCATCTCAATGGATTTTAATATACCATTAAAATAAATTTGGAATTGGTATCAGTTTTCTTTTTATATTCAGAATTAACCCAAATATAAAGTAACATTAATGTGTGGCCAAGAAATGCATATTTTATTTATATATTTAACCTGTACAAAAAGTTAGGAAATATATATTTTTTATATCTTAATCTTTATTAAAAACCAATTATATATTTATATTTTTACCTTTTTTTCTTAAGTGATTTTAATATAGCATTAAAATAAATTTGGAATTAGTAACAGTTTTCTTTTTATATTCAGAATTAAACCAAATATGAGTAAATTTAACTTATCTATATATTTACACTGTACAAAATATATGGAAATATTATTTTTTTTATACCTTAATCTTTATTAAAAACCAATCATATACATATTTAACTTTTCCCTTTTAGAAACGCTGAGGACATTGATTTGTTGGTGGGCGCCCTGCTGGAAGAGCCCGTGGTTGGAGCCCTCTTTGGACCCACCATCAGCTGTCTGCTGACCCTGCAGTTCGAGCAACTGAAGCAGACCGATCGCTTCTGGTACGAGAACGAGATCCCGCCCTCCTCCTTCACCCTGGACCAGCTAAAGAGCATTCGCCAGACATCCCTTTCCGGCTTGCTGTGCGGATCGCATCAAGTGAGCACTGCCCAGTCCAAGGCCTTCATTCTGGAGGACAACTACCTGTGAGTAACCAAGAGATGCTTTACACAGAGACCACAAGTTCTAGAGCTGTTACCCTTTTTTAGGAACTCAATTTTGGACTGCGACCAGTTGCCCAAGTTTGATTTGAAGCCCTGGCAGGTGAACCCCGAGGATGAGGTTCATGTGGAGCACGTGGAAGTGGAACCAGCGACCAAGGAAGCCATTGCCGAGCTGAGTCCCGAACTGATCGAGGCGGCCGTGGAACGTGCCAAGCAGGAACTGGAGGAACGCAAGCGTTTCGAGTACGAAGTGTGGCGAACAAGTAGGTTTTAAATGGAATTTTTTTATATAACAAAATTAATTGTAAACTAATTTATTTTCCAGAGGGCGGCATCAGTGCCCGCTCCCCCGACGGCACGGCCGCCTCCTTCAGCAAGGCCAATCTGGCCGCCCTGAACCTGGCCAACTCCTCGCTGATCTTCGAGCTGACCTCCAACGAGATTGTGAAGACGCTCAACCACATCACCAGGCGCAAGCGCCAGATCTTCAATCCCAACCAGAATGCCTTCAATCGCAACGAACTGACCGATACCCTGCAAACGGTGGACATCAGTGGCCTGCTTGGCGGTGCCCAGAAGCCACTGGACGAGTGTCCGGAGCCGAATCAGCAGTGCGATGCCAACTCTCCGTTCCGTACTTTGTCCGGAAAGTGCAACAATCTGCGCAATCCCAACTGGGGCAAGTCGCTCACGACTTTCTCCCGCCTGTTGCCCGCCCAGTACGAGGACGGCATCTCGGCGCCCAGGGTCACCGGAGTGACTGGAACCCAGTTGCCCAATCCCCGAACCATTTCCACCACCATCCATCCGGATATTTCCAACCTGCACACTCGCTACTCGCTGATGGTGATGCAGTTCGCCCAGTTCGTCGATCACGACTTGACTTTGACTCCGATCCACAAGGGCTTCCACGAGTCCATCCCCAGTTGCCGGCCCTGCAACTCCCGCCAGACAGTGCATCCCGAGTGCAATCCCTTCCCGGTGCCCGCCGGCGACTTCTACTATCCCGAGGTGAATGTGACCAGTGGCGAGCGCTTCTGCTTCCCCTCGATGAGATCGCTGCCGGGACAGCAGTCTCTGGGCCCGCGCGACCAGATCAACCAGAACACCCACTTCCTGGACGGCTCGATGGTCTATGGCGAGACCACTTGTCTGTCGGGCAAGCTGCGCGGATTCTCCGGACGCATGAACAGCACCCAGCTGAGGGGCAAGGAACTGCTGCCCCTGGGACCCCATCCCGAGTGCAAGTCCCGCAACGGTCTGTGCTTCCTTGGCGGCGACGATCGTGCCTCCGAGCAGCCAGGTCTGACCGCCATCCACACTGCCTTCCTGCGTGAGCACAACCGCATTGTCGAGGGTCTGCGCGGAGTGAATCCCCACTGGAACGGAGAGCAGCTCTTCCATCATGCCCGTAAAATTGTCGGCGCCCAGGTGCAACATATCGTGTTCAACGAGTTCCTGCCCCGCATCCTCAGCTGGAATGCCGTCAATCTGTATGGCCTGAAGCTGTTGCCCCAGGGATACTACAAGGACTACAATCCATCCTGCTCGCCGATTGTCTTCAATGAATTTGCGGCCGCCGCCTTCCGAATTGGCCACTCCCTCCTGCGTCCCCACATCCCCCGGCTGAGTGTCCAGCATCAGCCCGTGGAGCCGCCACTACTTTTGCGCGACGGTTTCTTCCGCATGGACGCCCTCCTGCAGCCCGGAATCATTGACGAAATCCTGCGCGGTCTGGTGGCCACTCCCATGGAGACCCTGGATCAGTTCATCACCGGCGAGGTGACCAACCATCTGTTCGAGGACCGCAAGATTCCCTTCTCCGGCATCGATTTGATCGCCCTGAATATCCAGAGAGGTAGGTCTACCACATAAGTCTGATATTTCTATAAAAGATATAACCTTCATTGTTTAACCTTAGCTCGCGATCATGGAATCCCCTCGTACAACAACTACCGTGCCCTGTGCAACCTGAAACGCGCCACCAACTGGAACGATTTGAGCCGCGAGATCCCCACCGAGGTGATCAACCGCTTCCAGAAGGTCTACGCCAGCGTGGACGACATCGATCTCTTCCCTGGCGCCATGACGGAGCGTCCTCTGCAGGGCGGTCTGGTTGGACCCACGCTGGCCTGCATCATTGGCATCCAGTTCAGGCAGCTGCGCAAGTGCGATCGCTTCTGGTACGAGAACCAGAACCCGGAGGTCAAGTTCACGGAGGCTCAGCTGGCTGAGGTCCGCAAGGTGACGCTGGCCAAGATTGTGTGCGAGAACCTGGAGATCACGGGAGACATGCAGCGTGCTGCCTTCGATTTGCCCAGCAACTTCCTGTGAGTATATATTCACTAGAACCCAAAAAAAAATCTATATGAAACGTATTTTTGATTTTACATTATTTAAGATCAATTTTAATTTGATAAAAAATCGATATGAAACGTAGATCGATTTTACATTATTTAAATCAAATTTAATTTGATGAAAAATCGATCTGAAACGTAGATCTGAAACGTAGATCGATTTTACATTATTTAAGATCAATTTTAATTTGATAAAAAATCGATATTAAACGTAGATCGATTTTACATTATTTTAGATCAATTTTTATTTGATAAAAAATCGTTATGAAACGTAGATCGATTTTACATAATTTAAGATCAATTTTAATTTGATGAGAGATCGATTTAAAACGTAGATCGATTTTACATTATTTAAGATCAATTTTAATTTGATAAAAAATCGATATGAAACGTAAATCGATTATACATTATTTAAGATCAATTTTAATTTGATAAAAAATCGATATTAAACGTAGATCGATTTTACATTATTTTAGATCAATTTTTATTTGATAAAAAATCGTTATGAAACGTAGATCGATTTTACATAATTTAAGATCAATTTTAATTTGATGAGAGATCGATTTAAAACGTAGATCGATTTTACATTATTTAAGATCAATTTTTATTTGATATGGGGCCAGGTAAAAACGATATATGCTTTTTTTTGCGTGTTACTGTTTTATTAACAGCTTATTGATTAATTTTCTTGAATATTTTATTAGAAACCCACGTGTGCCCTGCGCTTCGATGCCCCAGATTGACTTGAACGCCTGGCGCGAAAATGTCCAGGGCTGTCAGATTGGCAACCGCAATGTCCGTGTAGGCGAGTCCGCCTTCCCTTCGCCCTGCACCAGTTGCGTCTGCTCCGCGGAGGGGGTAAGCTATACATAATCCCTAAAGTAAAACTCTTTCTAAACTTGATTATTTCCGAACTTAGGCTCAGTGTGCCTCCCTGCGCATCACCGATTGCGGCCAGCTGATCCGCCAGTGGCCCAAGGAGGCCATTCTGCGCGACGAGGTGTGCAACTCGCAGTGCGGCATCTACCTGACCGGCCAGCAGGCCAGTGGCTTCAATCCCCAGCAGCGACAGGGTCAGGCTCAGCCACGTGTCACCCGATCCCGTAACCAGAATCTCTTCAAGTTCCCCGACCTGACGCCCTTCATTGCTTCCCTGTAAAGCGGAGGAGGCCAATCAATATAGTTTGAGTGCGCAGGAGTAAGCAGAAGCGATTCTAATAACGCATTTTGTGAACAGCTCTTGCGTTTGTACATAAGTTTCTTTGTTGTTTGCTTACCTAAAGACTTGTCCAATGCATAAGCGAGATCTATATACATATACTCGCCAGTTCTGTACGTCATAAGTTACAAAACACTCGGCCCCATCATCAGACACCTGCCATCGGCAGTGTCCTAGCTATATCCTAATTAAAGTTACAGCATAACTATTAACAAATTATAATAAACACTTGTAGTGAGTGAAATAATAACTGGTTGGATTTTCTTTGCTTTATAAAAAAAAGAGGATCGAAAGCTTGGGTCTCAGCTTTTCAGTGGGATATGGAATCGAAAGCCACGTAATTTTTATAGAACGATATTTAAAATAGCTAAAATTATTTAAAGTAAAATATCGCTATTATCGAAGAAATATTTTAAAAAAGTGGATATAATTCATTCGTTTCTTCGCGATTATATATTTTGATAATCTCTTTATATCCTTTATACCCTCTGCGAGGGTATCAAAATTTGGGGGACTTTATTAAACAAGGCTTTTTGTTTTGGACGTCTTTTTGAGATGGTTGAATATTGGGCGTAAATGTTTAACATTTGAATACAGCACTTTTAGGTTAATCTACAAATGTAAGTATCTTAAGATATCTTTGCAATAAAACACAGTGGTTAGATATTATGTTGCTTTATTTAGTTTTGCCTTGTTGAACATGGTCCTTTACAGCAAATATTTTGTGTATTTTTGATAGGTTTCTCTATAATGCCGACAATAAATAACAAAACTCACAAAGTACAATTTAATCTAAAGAAGGATTATATGAATTTATATAGACACACCTGCATGGGCCGAGGGACACACAGAACGTTAGACGTGCTGATGTGCTGTTCCAAGGGCAGATGCTTCCAAGATGGCCTGGGTTTTGCTTATTACGCCAGCCCATTGAGGCCATCGAGTACATAGGTAGATACAAATACATTTCTTATTATCGCATAACATTACAATTATTTAAATTCGAAAAGAGCGCAGAGACGGGGAAAATCAAGGCGCCTAGTGTTTGTTTTGTTTTCTGGTTTCTTGTTGCGGGTGTATTAAGGGTGGTTATTATAATCTAGGCTCGCGATCGGTTCGGTTTTTCGTTACTCGACAGCTAACATCATCACTAAGCGGTTGGTTAATGCTACTAAAGTTAGACTTTTGGTACCCATAGAGATAATTCAACTAACGTTTACGGTTATACAGTGTTATCGTACTCGTATATGTATGTGTTTCGGGACATTACAATACTTTTATCCTTGCTGTGTTCCATAGAAGATGAGCGTTACTTGCAAGCAAACGACAATTGGAGAATCCACTACTCTGCCATTTTTTGGTACAATTTTTCTTTTGTTTCTTTTGTTGGTTGGTGCTTAAACATCTAGAGAATTTGACTTCTTTGCATTATCATTAACTAACGCTGAGGGTACGAACTAAAATTTAAGTTACAAACACACACAGATCAAAAAATACACATACATAAGTATATATACGATTTACATACGTTTATAGGAATCTTTTTCTATTTAGTTTTAGTTGTAGGCTATTAAATTGCTGTGCCACAATTTGCTTATGGTATGTGTTTTTCCTTTCATTATCCTTTCCTACTGCACGGCGATACTGTTGCTCAAAGTGGATGTTATATACAAGATGATAGTGGTTGATTGTGTGTTTCGATAGAGATGAGGTCGATAGAACTATGTACATATTGAAGATATGCTAATGTGATCCAGAATTCTCGATTAGAATACGCTTTTGAAGAGTTAAAACCAATACAAGTGGCTTGCATAATTTCAGACATCACAAATATGGTTTTAGAGTTTTCGGTATAAGTTAATTAAATCCTTGTTTCTAGGAACACACCAGATTGGGATGTATTTACTTTTCAGCCGCCACAGCGGTGGCCCCATTGCTGTTTGTCTCCGAGTGACGACGCGCCAGGAGATGATGATGATGATGGTGGTGATGATGATGCTGGTAGCTGCCGAAGGGCAACGGCAACCCATGACCATTCTGTGGGCCTCCAATGCCGTTGGCAAAGGGCAGGCCATCGAGATTTCCAATTTTGCCCACGATTTTTGGTATCCTATCACTATCCGTCGCCAGCAGCGGAGTGGCCAGGCTGATTAGCCCACTTCCGCCGATGCTGGCACTGCCAATCCCGATCCCATGCTGGCTATGATTGTGATGCGAGTGATGGTGATGATGATGATGATGGTTGTGGCTGTGACTATGACTATGGTTGTTGATCACGGGCGTGCTTTTGCAGAGAGCAGCGTTTGTTCCGTTTTTTCCCTTGACATCCAGCTCGAGTTCCTGGGCGCCACGCAGGGAGCTCGTCTTGCGAACCTGCAGCCCGCTGCGGGAATGGTCGCAGCTCTTGCAACGCTGCTTCTGCGTCTGAGCCTGATGGGATGTCTGCCTTTGCAGGGCATTCAAGTTGGCCGTCACCAGCTTGGCCTGCAGGGTTTTCGAGGGCGATACTGGCGTGCTGTCATCCTCGCCGGTGGGTGGTGGCGTGGACAGGCGACTGGAGGCGGTCGAGGAGCTGCAGGTGCTGTTTGAGCGACAGGAGGAGGCCTCCTCCACTTCGGCATCGTGACCATTCTCCTCAGCATCAGCATTCACCTCCACCTCCGCATCATCATCATCTTCACTGGGCTGGGTGCTGGTGGGATGAGAAGCGACGGCAATGTTCTTATTAGTGGTGCTGTTGTTGTTGGCAACGTTTGGGCCATTTACGCTTGCTTGCTCGCACTGGGAGTCCGCCGGCACTGGCACTTCCACTTCCGCTTCCGGCGCAGCCACATCATCATCACTCATCGCCTTGCAGTCACCGTTCGATATCACATTTTTCTGCTTCTCCTCCTCCAACTTCTCCTTCTCCGGCTCCTGATCCTGACTAGTTTTCACAACATCGGCCAGGTCGATCCAATGGCCGCGATTATCGCGCACGCCCTCGACAAGAGGCTCCAGCTTGTCGGAGAGGGTGGCGAAGGCCTGAAAATTAATAAAAATATTATTTATAAAATAAATATAAAATCATACAAAATTAGCCCATACAAACCTCATAGATTGGCAAGCAAATGGAGTCAATAAAATTAACTTGCATCATGGGCAGCTCATCCTCCTTCTCGCGATTCATGATATCCTAAATATAAAAATTAGCCTATAAACTCTCCATTTTTAGATAAATTTTTGAAACTCACAATAGGAGTTATGTTGAGCTCCTGCTTCTCCATGTCGCCCTGCTCGAAGAACTCCGAGCTAACCAAATCGGCCACACGCTTCTCGATCTCCCACGGCTTCGTGATGGCCGACAAATCACAGACAGTCATGCTCATGGCACGCAAAAGTGCGCGCGGCTCCTCGGCCACCCAATGGCTCACCGGCTGATCCACACTCTCCAAGAAAGGACCTCGCTTCCTGTTGATTAAACCGACCCATTATAAAAGCAGCTCGGAAAATAAATATTTTGCCCAAGCTCACTTGAAATACACTGCCAAATCAGTGGATAAAATGGCATCTTCCAACACCCTTATAACACGACAGTAGTCATCGGAGGAGAGATTGGCCAGTATTTGATTTCCAGGACTGTTCAAGATCATCAGGCATTGATCAAAGTGATGATGCTCCATGGTGGAGGTCGAGTACAGCTGCGCCAACGGCGATGAGGCCCTAAAAAGTGATGTTATAATTAAGTACTTTTTCTGGTTTTCCTTGAGTTTCTATACTCACTTAATCTGGAAGGAGTTGTTGGTCCCTCGATGATCGAGATCGTGACAAAGGCAGCCAATAATAAGCGCCAAGCATTCGATTTCCCCAAAGATCTTCCACCATTGAGTGGTCTTAAATAAAGATATGTAAGTTTTAGATATTTTGTAAATATAATTTTAATTTTTTACTTACAGTCAGAATGGCAAACATCATTTGGGCCACATTGAAGGCATGCCGCCAATTGTGATAGGTAACATTGCGATAGTTTTTCTTGACGCTCAACAGCCAACGGCACAGAACTTCATAGTCAATATGAAAACGTTCCACAAAATCGAGATCCAAAAACATGCGCAGGCAGGCCTAAAAAATAATTTAGTTAGATATAATTAAAATGATTTCGAATAATCCCCAGGCTTACCTTCAATGTATCATCATCTTCGAAATGTATGTCATCGAACTTAAAGTCATGTAGTCGGAAGTGTACAGCCGAAGGAACCCGAAGGCGCTATAAATTAATAATAATATATATTCAGAATACCTCAAAAAAGCACTCTAAAAACCTATAAAAATGTCAAATTTTTAGATAGCCACAATTTCTAAAACTTTGGACAAGATCCACTTCTCCACTTCCACCACTTCAAGAAACCCGCACGTGTTCAAAACAAAGACAGTCCCAAGAAAATAAATAAAATACGAAATCTCCCGCTGGACCTTCATATGTTTGCTGTCAGCAACTGTAAATGGTGCTATATTAGCCACCAAAGCTGAGAAGTTTATCAAAATTTCTGACATTTTTCCGCCAAGGCACCCGCAAGTGTGCGAAGGAAATCCCCGCCGGGGGCCAACTGCGGACCGGAAAAAAGGGTTTCCCAGCTTGATGCCATAATCGTCTCTCCGCCTCCGTTCGTTGTACGAATAAAGCCTAGTATGGCATAATTTTAATTAAAATTAATAACCCAGCATCTTTGTCTGGCTGGCAGCTCGACAGGCGGTCATAATTTTCCCAGCATAATTACAGAGAGTGTCCGGCGATGAAGAGCGAGCGCCGTGGAGTCGCACGATTCAGTAGAAAAGTTTCTTTTTGTCATACTTGTGCGAACAAACTAATTACAACTGTCAACACGTTGAAGCTTTTTCCCGGGGGCAGGAGGGCAGCAGGCCAGGGATGGCGAGAGGCGACAGCTTGTTGCTGCTGTTTCTGTCACACAGAAATAATAAACGTATAAAAACCGTGAAGCTAACACAGAAGACAATGCAACAGGGAAGCACCCAAAGTGGGTCTCCGGCAGGACACATTAATTTATGGCTCTGCGTAAAAATTAAGAGAGCAAACTAGTGGACGACCTCTTGGCCTCGGGCAAATTAAGTGAGTGCAAATAAAATTAAGCATTTCACTGGCCTCCGCCAAACGGCACCCGGGAGGGCAATTTAATCCGGAACGGAATACGAGAGTACTCGATTACTTGAGTACTCGAATATCCGAGTGCGGATGGGAACACTCACCCGCAG